TTACTTCCTGTTTTGGGAGAGCTGATATCAAATGCCTTGATTGGTTTTACTCTGTGGGGAGTACAGATGTTACAAGGTCGTATGCACTGATGATTGTGCTTCAAAGCTGTCTTTGTCCCTGTACCGGCTGGACAGAATAACTGTCGGGTTTTGACATTTCTAGTTGTTTCCCATGTTTCTTAAGTTACGAGCAATTGTCTTTCCATTTCTTATGTAAATATTTATGAGCAGCAATCATATTAAAATGCATATGTCAAGAATAAATCATTGGACATTCTTGCGAGACAAAACAGAAAAGGAAAAAACACACAGTTTTTTGTAGAAATGATTTGTATTGATTTTCGAAGTTGGCCTATAACAGGCATTTTTGTACAAGGAGGCTGACGCTCTAGTAAGAGAACGCCGCCGTAAAAATAGAAGCTATACAATATTGTGCAAAAAGAAAATAGATATGTACAACAATCTCATTGGGTTCCAATTCTGCTATTGCCCCTATGTCTTCGAGCGTCTCATCACTTTGCTGCTTATCCGAAGCTAATTAGATTGATCGGTGTCGTTCGAGCTTGATTGTTGATATTGAGGTCTGATTTCAAGGTGATTCAATGGGACATAGTGATACGCTTTACATCCCTAATTTTTGCCTGGACTACCCTTTCGGGTTTTCAGTCCACCGGGATACCCTTTATTGCCCAAGCCGCCGTTTCAGGTTTTTGACTTGCCGGGTGTACGGAGTTTTTTCATTTTCATCCCTTATTTTTGCCCGAACCCTTTTGGCTCGCTGGGAAGCCCTTATTTTTGCCGAGGCTAGTCAACCTAACGGGTCTTTTATCATGCGTAATATCTTTTCACTATGTCTGCATTGACAGGGTGAGGAAGGTCGTCACCATCCATGATGGTTAGAATCATGGCTCCACCCGAGAAAATGTTTTTAATTACAAATGGCCCTTCGTAGGTGGGAGTCCATTTTCCCCTGGGATCACCTTGCGGCAGTATGATGCGCTTAATTACTAGATCCCCGACTTGATACTCTTGATGTCTGACTTTTTTGTTGAAAGCCTTGATCATTCGTTTTTAATACGTCTGACCATGACAGATAGCAGTAAGCCTTTTCTCATCGATCAGATTCAGTTGATCAAGTCGAGTCTGGATCCAGTCGTCTTTGTTCAAACCCGCATCTTTCATAATCCTTAAAGAAGGAATCTGGACCTCAATGGGTAGGACTGCCTCCATGCCATATACCAGAGAGTAGGGTGTTGCCCTTGTCGATGTCCGTGCTGAGGTACGGTACCCATGAAGAGCGATTGGTAACATCTCATGCCAGTCTTTGTATGTCACTGTCATCTTATGTATAATCTTCTTGATGTTCTGTTAGCTGCTTCAACAGAGCCATTCATCTTCAGTTGGTAGGGAGAAGAGTTATGATGTTGTATCTTGAATTGCTTACAGAGTTTGATGATCATCGTCTTATTGAGATTCGTACCATTGTCCATGATAATTCTCTCTGGCACACCATACCGACTGATCAGGTTATTCCTGATAAACTGCGCCATAACATTCTTGGTAACGGTAGTAAAGGAGGCAGCTTCAACCCACTTCGTGAAGTAATCGATAACCACTAGGATGAAGTGATGCCCATTGGAAGCGGTAGGTCTGATTTCTCCGATCATGTCAATGCCCCACATTGCAAAGGGCCAAGGAGCCGTCAAGACGTTTAAAGGAACCGGAGGTACATGCACCTTATCAACATAGATTTGGCACTTATGACAGGTTCGGGAGTGCTGATAACAATCTTCTTCCATGGTGGACCAGTAGTATTCTGCCCGTAGGATTTTCTTAGCCATGGTATGTCCACTTGAATGGGTTCCGAAGGTACCTTCATGTAAATCTGTCATAATCCTCTCTACTTCGCTCTTGTCTACACACCGCAGTAAGGTAGAGTCATGGTTGCGCTTGTAGAGGATTTCATTACTGAGGAAGAATTTCGCAGCAAACCTTCTCAGAAACTTCTTATCATTGACAGATGCCCCTTTGGGATACTCATGAGTCTTGAGGTACTTCTTCACTACATGAAACCAAGGTTTATCTGCTACCTCTTCGGTATTAATCTCGCAGCAGTGTATTGGTTCATCTAACCTTTCAATGGTGATTCGAGGAGCTTCGTTGTCCCACCTGACCTTGAACATAGAAGACATGGTGGCTAGCGCGTCCGCTAACTGATTCTCCTCTCGTGGAAAATGTTCAAAGGTTACCTCCTCAAAGTGTGGGAGCAACGTCAGTATATGCTCTTTGTATGGGATGAGATTCAGATGCTTTGTATCCCATTCGCCTTTGATCTGACTTATCACCAAGGCTGAATCCCCGAAGACATTTAAGAACTTGATCCTGAGATTGATAGCGGATTTGAGACCTATGATGCAGGCTTCATACTCCGCAATGTTGTTAGTGCAGTTTAAACATAGTCGGGAAATGAAAGGAGTATGACAACCCTCAGGAGATATGATTACGGTGCCAATGCCATTACCGAGTGCGTTCGAAGCTCCGTCAAAAACCATAATCCATCGGGATCCTTCTTCAGATCCTTCATCCGGTCCAGGTTCTTCATAGTCAGTCACCAGCATAATATTCTCGTCCAGGAACTCAAAATTCATGGACTGGTAGTCATCCACGGCCTGATGAGCCAAGTGATCAGCCAATACACTTCCCTTGATTGCTTTTTGGGTTGTATATTGTATATCGTATTCAGTTAAGATCATCTGCCATCTTGTTATTCTTCCGGAGAGTGCAGGCTTCTCAAAGATATATTTGATCAGATCCATCTTAGATATCAACAAAGTAGTGTGGGTCAACATATACTGTCTCAATTGGCGAGCAGCCCAGGCCAAAGCGCAATAATTTTTCTCGAGCAATGAGTATCTTGTCTCACAGTCGGTAAACTTTTTTCTAAGGTAGTATATTGCGTGCTCTTTTCGACCAGACTCGTCATGCTGCCCTAGCACACACCCATTGAATTGTCTAGCATTGTTAAGTAAAATATCAAAGGTCTTCCTTCAACCAGAGGCATCATAATTGGTGGTTCTTGAAGATATTCTTTGATCCTTTCAAAAGCAGTCTGGCATTCGTCATTCCACTTTACCGCTTGATCTTTCTTCAGAAGCTTGAAGATGGGCTCACAAGTAGCAGTCAGATGTGAAATGAACCTGGCGATATAATTTAGGCGTCCCAAGAAACCTCTAACCTCCTTCTCTGTACGGGGAGTCGGCATCTCTTGTATGGCCTTTACCTTTGCGGGGTCTACCTGAATACCTTTGTCACTGACGACGAAACCCAGAATCTTACCATACCTTACCCCGAAGTTTCACTTGTTCCGATTCAACCTCAACTTGTATGTCTTCAACCTGTCGAACAACTTTTGTAGATGATCAAGGTGTTCCTCTTCGGTTTGAGACATGGCTATCATGTCATCAATGTCATACCCCAAATTTTGACCTAAGATACCACCTCCCATCTGCATCATTACATTGCAAGCGTTCACAAGCGATTTGACCTATTTTTATCAATTTTTAAAGCAAATTTTAAAAATTCATAACTTCTTCAAATTTCAATATTTTTGAGCGGGTATTTTTGCACATGATTTTTCTTGACATCATCTACGACTTTTCTTTTCAAGTCAAGGGCAAATTATGCATTGAGAAGCCACGGAAAATTATTGATGTTAGAAGTCGTTTCACGAATTTGATTTTTAATTTTTGACTATGTTTTTGTCTGATCATACATTTTACACTTTCTCTTCTCTTATTCTTATTCCCTGAAAAAATCCTTAAAAATAAAAAATATTTTTAGTTCATGTCATCTTCATTTTATTTACATTTTTATTCAAAAAAAAATAGTCTCTTTAAATTTTATTTAGATTTTTTTTCTTGTATCATTTAAGCTGAAATTATAATCTTTTAGTTTTAATTTAGTAAAAAAATATCAAAAAATATGTGTTGTCATTATTTTATTTTAATTCAAAAAAAATCAAACAAAATATAATTAATATCTTTTCTTTTTTTATTCTTTTAGTTATTATAATTTTTTTTTACTTCTTTCTTTCAATATTAATCTTGATTTGATTCTAATTTTAATTTAATTTTTTTTTAAGTTGGGTTATTGTTAAAATTAATTTTAATTTCTTTTTACTATTTATTCTTTGGAAATTTTAGTTTAATTCTTTTCCTTTTATTATTACTAACTGTTATTATTATTATTATTATTATTATTATTATTATTATTATTATTATTATTATTATTATTATTATTATATTTCTATTTATGTTATTTGTTTCCTTGTGGAAAATGTCTAAACAATAAGCTCAGAACTGCTGCATTAGTTTTTATTCAAAATATAATACAACTTCAAGTCAATTTCCAAAACCATGTGCAAAACAGTTCAAAGACTAGCAACAATAAACCTGCAAAACCTGCACAAATAATGCCAAGAAAAACAGTCAAATAACCTTTGCTGCCCTGTTATAAGACAAGCATACCAGTCCAGAAATTACATCAAAAATAACAAATTAAAAAAGCTGAATCAAAAAGTGACAAAGTATAACACCAATTTTGTTCAAATCCTATTGTTATTTCCCTCCTCAAATTGCAGGGGTCTTGGTGATATAAGGGGGATTTGAGAAACAATAAAAAGACCACGGATATTAGAGAAAAATTATTGATATAGGAGAAGAAAAAATATCAACAGAAAAAGAAAGAAAAACAAGACAGTAGAAAAGAAAATACATACAAGAACAAAGAGGGAGAACCTTGAACTCACCTTGTTTCAAAGAGCTCCATCGGAGAGGCTCCGATAGGTAAATAATTCTGCAATCCTTCTACATATAATTCAATATTCATCTCTTCATTTGATCATCCTCATAAATTATTGGTGTTCCATAACTTGTTTTTTTTATCACTATGAGTGAAGAAAAAAAGAAATATTAGTTTTAACCAAATGCTCATTATGAGTCCTAGAGTACTAAAAAAAACATTGTGTGGTAGTTGTTTGAAAGGTGTCTTGTTCCAACATTGCCTTTCCTGTTGACATTAGTGTGTCTGAGACGACTAAAAAAAAAAGACCACTTCAAAATCACACTCTCTGAAACTTCACTCCACAATTTCCAAATAACAGCATCACAGACAATCCCAAATCTCATGCCATTGAATCCACAGTCCAACGCGTTACCTTTGCTCATCATCCTGCTATTTCAACCGAATCTACGTGAATCCAGTTTAACAAAAAAATAACACCCAAAGTACAAATTCTGAAGGAAAAAATAGCAGCAAAAAATTCAATAACTAAAACTCAGATTGAAAAACAAAGAGTGGAAAACATTTTCAATTTCATCTTTTTCAAATAAAATCAGAAGAGAAAATACCTAAACCTGAAAACCCTAAAACAACACAGTCGCTCATGAACCCTCCCATCGGCGCTGCTGTTTGCCATCGACACCAATCTTCGGCGAACTTTCGGTTGCTTCAAACCACCACTCTCTTTGCGAAACTGAATTTTATTGTTGTTTGCAATTTCAATCATGACGACTCCATTGTTGTTCTTGTTAGACGGAGCGAAAATTTATAGTGAGAGAGGAATAGATTTTGTGGTTTTGAGAAAGAAAGGATGAATTGACCGAGAGATCGATTGAGAGAAGTAAAGTTCGGAGGGAGTATTTTTGAGAGAGATATGAGAAGCATAATGAAACCAGTTTTGAAAGCAGAGGATGAGAACGTGAAATCAAGAGAGAGAGTTTATCATTTCTTTTATGACATTTAATTGGGTGTTATTAGGATTAGTAAGAGAGAGAGAGAGAGAAAGATTTTCGCTTGATTCTCTCTTGATTTAATTTTTAGTTAATTATTTTTATTTGTGGTAATTAATTAATATTTATTGTTTGACCAATTCCAAGATGTTAGCCGCCGCTCCATCCTTCCTACAACTAGGGTTAATGTTTTCCCTTACAAATTTCGGGTTTGGGCCTCCCCATTAAATCCACCCGAATTTATTCCCTCATTCAGCCCAGCATTTTTTTTAATTATTTTGTATAATTATTTTATATAATTATTTTAATCTTTTTATTTGTTATGATAGCTGGGCTCTGTTGAGTTCAATTTTAAGCCTAATTCCGATTTTTTTTTGCTTTGCGCCCTAGTTTTTGTTCTATTTGATACCACTCATTTTGTCTTGTTATAATTAGTTTAATTTTTTTTTATTTCTTTTTATTATTGTTATTTAAATTAATTTAAAAATAATTTATTTAAATATTTAGTCTTTAATTAGATAGTTTTAATAATTAGTTTAGACTTAGAATCATTGTAGAAACTTTAGAATTTTATTTGATTTTATTTAGTTAATTTTAAAATTTTATTTGTTTAAGTTTTAGTTTAGTGACTTTAGAATTTTTATTTGATTTAGAATTAATATCTTTAGGATTTTTTTATTTGATTTAGAATTAGTTTAATATCTTTAGATTTTTTTATTTGATTTATAATTAATAACTTTAGAGTTTTTATTTTATTTAAATTTAGTTTAGTAATTTTAGAATTTTATTTGATTTAGATTTAGTTTAGTAACTTTGGAACTTTTATTTGTTTTAGATTTAATTTAGCAATCTTGAAATTTTAATTTAGTTTAGATTTAATTTACTAATTTTAAAATTTTAATTTAGTTTAGATCTAGTTTTTTTTTCTTTTCTTTTCCCATTAAAGTACAGTATCAATATAATAATAATAATATAAAATATATTTTTTTTTCTTCCCAATATAATAAAAACAGTATTAATAATAATATAAAAAAAAAATTTCTCTTCCCAATATAATAAAAACAGTATTAATAATAATATATAATATACTATCCTTTCCCTCTTCCCAATAAAAGCAAATGATATTTTTTTTGTTTTTTCTTCCAACACCACAACACAGCAGTCGTCGCCCTCCCTCCACAACATTAGGGTTTCAATTTTTTTATTTTTCTTCCCTTTGACCCGGTGGCCCATTGGGCCTTTTTAGTCCATTTTCAAAATTCAGTTTTTCATTATCTTTTATTTAACTTGTGCTACTAATGAATAAACAACATTGGTTCAATTGGTAAAAGGTGTTAGCAGCATTCTAAGTGTCTTGGGTTCAAGTCTTAGTTGAGACACTTTTCTATCTTTTATTTCTTTTGGCCATATTATTTAACATACTTATTAATTATTAATTTAGGTTACTGTATAATTATTAATTATTATAAAAACACATAAAAACATTTAATTAAAATTCCACCTTTTATTTAATTTTGAAACCATACTTTTTCTATTATATTTTTGTGTTGTTATTTTATTATTCAAAAATACATGTTTCATGATTTAATTTTTGTCATGTGTTTAATTATTTAAAATCTATGATTTAATCTTCATGTACTTTTGGTTATTTATTTAATTGCTAAAATGCATGCTAGTATAATTTAAATTTCATTAGTTAATTGTTTAATTATAATTTTAATTAATTGATCGTTAATCCGCATATCTTTCGTCCGTTTCAATCCAAGGGAATTGTTTAATTTTGCCGACTTCATGTCATCAAACATATAGCGCGAATACCCTCATTCATATTCCGTTTATTATTTTGTTAAAAAACTTAAGATAATTTTCCCAAATATTCAATTTTTCAAAACTCCTACCTTTTAAGTCAAAACTTCGACGTTAGGTCGTCGTGTTTTCGAAAACTCGTCCAATACCCATCTTTGGCCAAACAATTTATTTTTAATCAAACAAACATTTTTTTAATAAACAGATATTTCAAAAGGTTCCTATAGAATACTATAGATACATTGGGTGCTAATACCTTCCCATTGTATAACCAACCCCCGAACTCTAGACCTCTTTTCAAAAACGCGTTGTATTTTCATTACTTTTAAAAGTAACTTTACATTGCATACTTTAGGGTTTTATTTCGCTCTTTCCCCTTTTCCCTTGGAAATAATAAAGCGCGGTGGCGACTCTTGCTTTTGTGAGACGAATTAATTAATAATTCGATCTCCGATTTACCCCGCTACATTTTTTATCGCTACAGAAATGGCGACTCTGCTGGGGAAAGATTGACCTCTTGCTGGTCCATCCCTAAGTGGGTTAAGCCTAGTTTGTTTTATTTTTTTTATTATTATTTGATTTGTTTGATTATGTGTTTATATTGGGGTTGTTTGGGTTTTTTTGCAAAGGACGAATCCTACACCCGGATTAAGTTATACTTAAGAATAGGACGGGCGGTATAGTCATGTTAACTTTGAGGGAGTAATCCCGAAGAAGGAGGCATGAAATCCCCACTCAGTGGAAGGCCCTTTTGAACGTAGTATTTGTTTACCGAGTAATCGGGAAGACATTATTATTTTCGACCTGGGAGCCAGAGAAACTGAGAACCGTAGAACCCTAACTCATCTTGGCCTTTTAGGTGTAGCGCGGAGATTATAACGGAGTAATCCGGAAGTAATTGTTACGCGATGCTACGCTTGGACGAGTTTCTCTTGAGAATATTGCTAATTATTGAGTAATCAAGACGTTGGTAATATCCGAAGGAGGAATGTAGACTCTGGGAACTCTTAGAACCTTGTCTTACAGGTGTGATTAAACTGTAGTACATACCTTGGGGTGGGCTTTACCTTTGACTCCATGCTCGAAACGTTGAACCTTTGAACCCCATATTTGTGAACGTGTGTGTAATTGTTGCATTATCATTCATCCATGCATCCATCAACATTTTTTTGTAAAAAAAAAACTTGTTTTTCAAGGAACTTAAGAATGATTTTTGCAGATATCTCAGGTACTATTAGTATGGAGTTTGGAAGAAGAAACACTCGAAGTTGATTCTAAATAATCTTTAGTTCTTAGTTTTATTTTTTGCTGATGTCATTTTGTAAAACTCTGTAAAAGGGCTTCATATTCCAAAGTTGTAATTTACTGCTTTATTATGGGCTTCATGTTCCAAAGTTGTAATTTACTGCTTTTATTATTGGGTTGTTATCCCAAAGTTGTAATTTATTGTTTTGTTGTTCCAAAGTTGTAAGTTGTAATTTTCCGCTTTTGATTAATGAAATGAGTTTTTGTTGTTCCAAATTCCTTTACCATTGATGTGTGCAACATTATTGAAGTTCCTTGAAAAACTATCAAAATGAATTATCATTTGCATCACATATCATGCATCATCCAGCATTCCACTTCACATGTTTTTTAGAGTCTTATCCTTGTTTCTTTTCCCACTCTGATAGATTGTCAAGTTTCTTCATCGGTACGATACCCGAGCCAATCGTCAGAGGAAGATGGAAGATCTAGAACAGGAAAACCACGAGCTTCGCGAGGAGGTCGCTACCCTTCGTGTCGGGATGGAAAAGCTAACTGCACTGGTGGAAAGTTTGATGGCTGCTCAGAATCAGCCATTGACTTCAGCTGCTGAGATTCAGACTTCAACTACTGTGGTTTCTGAGATTGTCACCGTTCCAACATCTGTGACTCAAATCAACTCTCGGCTTCAACATCAGATGCCAAAAGGTTTTCCGTGGGGAATGCCTTACAACTTTGTGCCAGAAGGGTATCAGCCTGTCGTACAGCCTTTGGTTCAACCTACGATGTCTTTTCCTCAACCAGAGACAACTACTATGCCGCCTGTAATCCCGTCTGTGGCACCTTTCCCTCAATCAGTGATGACAACTGTCGCTCCTGTGGTTCATTCTATGGCATTCGTGGATCATGATGTGACGGTTGACCAATTTGATGGAATTGTGGGAAATATTACTTCGTGTAACAATCTTGGTTTCAGTGATGAAGAGCTTCCGGAGGAGGGAAGGAACCATAATATGGCTTTGCATATCTGAATAAGTCTTGGAAATGATACTTTATCAAGTGTGTTGGTAGATACAGGTTCATCGTTAAATGTAATGCCCAAAACTACATTATCTCGACTCTCATATCAAGGTGCTCCCATGAGACCTAGTGGGGTAATTGTCAAAGCGTTTGATGGTTCTAGGAAGACTGTCATTGGTGAAGTGGATCTTCCTATAATAATTGGTCCTCATACTTTTCAGATCACTTTTCAAGTAATGGATATTCGTGCCGCCTACAGTTGCCTATTGGGTCGTCCATGGATACATGATGCAGGGGCAGTCACTTCCACGCTCCATCAAAGATTAAAGTTTGTAAGGCATGGAAAGTTGGTAATGATTGGTGGAGAGCAGGCTATGGTGGTAAGCCATTTGTCATCTTTCTCTTTTATTGATGCTGATGAGGATGTTGGAACCCAATTCCAAGCTCTATTTGTTGCTAATAATGAAGTGAAGAAGCAAGGGACATCTATTTCTTCTTTTAAGGATGCGCGACGAGTGGTTGAAAGTGGTTCGGCTGAAGGTTGGGGCCAGGTGTTGACTTTGCCCGAGAACAAGTCTGGATAAGGTCTTGGTTTTCATCCCGTGTCTACAAGAGTCAAGCAGGAAATAGTTACTCGTCCGATACAAGAAGTTTTCCGAAGCGCAGGTTTTATCCATCTGACTCCTCCTGAAGTTGATGCTATAAT